CTCAGATTTTTTAAGCTTTTATTATTTTTTATTTATAATTAGTACACTGAAAAATCATCTCTCTGTAATATTGAGCGAAAATTCTCGTTTATCGTGCATGATAAAGTGATCTAAATTTGCTAAAACGTGATCTAAATTTTCGGAAGGCCGATTCTAGCTAATCGAATCGCTCGAGTTTTTAATCGATTAATCGACCGTTTGTTCGGTCGTTCAAAAATGAATGAGAGTCTCTGGCTCGCCTTGACGCTCCTTGCAAATCGATTCAACCAAAGGTATAGAGGCCTTATATTGCGCCCCCGTGAACGCGTGTGTGTGTATATATATATGTAACATATATATACAAGCGTGCCTCTATACGGATGTCGCCGACTCGCATTACATTTCATTTTCAGCATTAGGATCGTTCGCACTCGTTAAGACGAATTGTACGAATAAGGGAGAGAGGCTCTCGATTATTTATATATATACAGTACTCTCCATAAGTTTGGAAACATCTTACATTTTATAGTTCAACAATTGCATGGCAGTGATCTGTCATAAATAAAAAAATTATTTAAATATTTTAAGTTTGTTTTACGATTTATTCATACAAAAAATCTGCACAGATCTGTCAAAAAGATACTCTTAATTTACCTTACATTTTATAGTTAAACAATTGCATGGCAGTAATCTGTCATAAATAAAAAAAGTTATTTAAATATTTTAAGTTTATTTTACGATTTATTCATACAAAAAATCTGCACAGATCTGTCAAAAAGATACTCTTAATTTAAGAGATAAATTCTTTAAAAAATATTCTTTAATTAGATATTCGTAACATGCAACAATATAAATTTAATGGGATGTTTTTTATCAGTATATTATTTGAAATATTATTTATCGTGATAACAAAAAACAGTCTTACAAATGGACATTTGTTATTTATTGCATACAATACCCTTTACAAATTTGGAAATAGTTTACATTTTACAGTTAAACAATCGCATGGCATCGATCTATCATAAATAAAAATGTCATTTAAACATTTTACGATTTATTGATACAAAAATCTGCACAGATCGCTGCCATACGATTGCTTTAACTGTAAAATGTAAGATGTTTCCAAACTTATGGAGGGTACTGTATACATGCCAGGCCTGCACAGCAGAAAAATTTGTGTTTTCTTGTTAAAAACAGTCCCCGTGAAAATTTTTGTGCTAAATATTTAACACATTTATGTGTTAATTTAACATATTAAGTACTGTTCTGTTAATTGAACTTAAATGTTAAATTATTAAAAGAATTGAAAAAAATGTAAAAATAACACAATGTGCATCTATTTTTAATTTTCACAATAAATATGTTCTGCTTTATTAGTGACAAGATTTTTCTGTTAAAATTTACAGAAAAAATGTTGATTTTCTATTCTATAATATAAGTGGGGACGATAAAATCTAAAATTAACATATTTTTTTGTTAATTTTTACTTTAAAAGTATGTTAATTTTACGCAAAATTTATTTTAAATTATTTGAAGTTTTAATTCATATTATGTTAAATTAACACAAAAATTTCTGTGGACCATTTGGGACATGTGATATCTGTTAAATTTAACAGAAATTTTTCAACTGTGTGGGCGCGCAAATCCGAGAGTTGGTGAAAAACATTTTAATTACGTTCGCAAAGACGTGAAATTTCAATAATCTCTTAAAATATTTCTTACGTATATTTACAGGCAGATTTGTATATATAGATTTAGAGCGATATCATATTTAAAGATTTCTCGTAAAAAAAAATTAACAGCATCCTCGAAACTGTTTTTGAAAGTCTCTTTTGATGTCAAGGTAACACACTGTGCAAAAGACCGTGGCATTTATGAGAATATTTACGAGATACGTAGATTCAAACGATATTTTTCTGTAATCTTTCTCCGAATAAATAAATGCAAAACTCAAAATTTTTCATTTCGGCATTTATGATTTTTTTATACGAAGTCTATTTTTTTTTTATTTCCGCGTGTTCCTTTTATTATGAATAAATTTGGAATTAGCGCGAATTGATTCATATCGTTGATGGTTTTAATCTTTGAATTCGTTATTAGCAACGAAGCATAATTAATTTTATCTCGACTGGTTTTGGGAGGAAGAATCGGATAATTCATTGGACGATTCATTTGATGTGTGTGTGCATTTTGAATAATACAATGGTTGCTTTGTTTTACGATAATGAACCGTATGAAATTGCACGGATGGAAAATTAGATTTCTCATTTGTTGTACCATTATCTTCTTATTTATCTCTATCAAACATTTTCCGTGAAATAATTTAATTAAAGAAAATTTCAATTCAATTCAATAATTAAAGAAAATTTTTAAACGACAAATTTTAATATATATTTTTCAGCGATTTTTAAGAATAAATAATATAGAATATTAACTGCTGCATTATTACAAATTTCTTGTTTTACATAATATTTGCGTTATATTTGCAAATCCATTATCTTGTTTAAGAAATAATGTCGCACAAATACGATGCGCAACGACAGAATTTTTTTAATTTATAAAAAATATAAATACATTAAATTATATAATGACCAAAATAAATAATTATAAACAATGTTTTATTAAATAATTTTAAATACATATTTTTTACAAATTAAAAGACTTAAAATAGTTTGATATGCACCATTATTACACAATAATATAAAATGAATCGCGAAGACAAGCGAGTAATTAACTTTATAAATAATAAATTAACACAATTATAAATTGTTCTCCGTTGTTCCATCGTCTGATGTCTCCCTCGGGGCTCCTTTTCCTCCTTGTCCTCTTCGTTCTTATTTGTCCTTTAATGCTCCTTTATGACACTTAGGTACACAACATTCACTCGCGAAAATACGATTAATTATACCATCGCGCGACATTTTATATAACACTTTATTAATAGTGATGTTTATCGCAGAAGACGCGCACTTTCATATTTTATTGCAACTTTATTTCATATTCCGCTTGTAAACAATAGTGCGTTATATACCTACATGTCGGAAGAAAGAGATATCAAATATCGCGTAACAATTAATTCATTGAAATCATCAAATATTTAACGCAATGTAAAATTATACGGAATATTCTATTCCTCGAATTTCAAATTAATTATTTATAAATGTCATAAATTACGATTGATATGTATCACGGCACGCGAATCACTTGATTCTACGACTCACATGTATTACTTTCTCCGAAAATAATTGATAAATCGATAACTTTCGTCTAACTTGACGAAAAAGTCAAAACGTGTAGCGATTAATATTTAATTGTGAGGGAGTCTATTTTAAGAAATATATACCTATTGTATTATATTCTATCGTCTACACTGAAAAAATGACTGAATTAATAAATATTTATTCGAATACTGCCAAATAAATCATTTATTTGAAATAAATAAATAAATATTCATTTGTTTCGAAAAGGATTTTCTTCTATCAAATAAATATTTTTCATATCAAATCAATATCATTAGTTTCAAATAAATGATTCCTTTAGCAGTATTGAAATAAATACTTATTCGAATTCAATAAATTTGTTTTCAGTGTATAAAGATCGCAATAAAACAATAATTTATAATATAATTGGTTTACGATCCTACTTGAAATGTGTAAAAATCGCGCGAAATATGTATTTACTTTGATAAGATAGGCGTCGTGTCAGTGCATTTGCGAGTTAATCGTGGGAGTTAATTATTCGCATGGATTAACAGCCTTCGATTATTCGGAATAATCGCATATTTCCTTGTACCTGTCGTAATCGTGTCTCGATAGTTAACGTGACGTTACACACGGAATACCTCGAGCTTCCTGCGCGCTCAAGCCTCGCCGCACAAATGACAGCACGGTGACGGCATGTAAACATTAGCGCGCTTCAGCGCTATATTTAGTCGCAAAAGCTTCGAAAATTTCGGAGCAACACGAAGACTGAATATTACAGAAAAGTTTAACATAGTAAATATCAAGTGATTGCATAAATGCATATATATGGTATTAAATTAAATTATATAATTTCAATTTTCAATCACATTTTTCTACGACTATATATATATATACTCGTATAACATGAATTGGTATTTTATATGATTTTTTCATTAATACATATATAACAATATAACATATATATATATATAGTTTTGTCCAAAAATATTTAGGAAATATTTTAGACAATTATGTAATCCTTATTAAAACTCATGGATAAATTAAATTATTGCTTTAAATGACTGAAAATAATTAAAAAATGAAGGAACTGGCTTCAAAAATGTTGAAATTTTTTATTATTAAATTGAGGACCATTTCATAAATGTATTTCCATATTTTGAAGCCAGCCATATTGTGAATTTTTATTATGTCGTAACACAATTTGTATTCATTGAATTACTATGATAGCTTACACAATTTATATTTCTGCAATTATTATTATGTACAAAAGTACGATATATTACAAATACATTAATATTATTTCATGATATAATAAAAATGAATTAAAATTATGTCTTGACATAAAATTATTTCAAAATACACAAAGAAAGATACAGCTTACGTGGAATTACTTTTACATCAAGACATAACTTAATTTTTATTATGTTATATGACATAATGAAAATGAATTCGAAAAACTATCTTCTTCAGTTAAAATCTATTAAATTTTTATTTTAAATAAAAAAATCTTATTAAATACCAAAACGGTGTGCTATATCAAACGATGAAAATTAATTTATATCGTATATTTTATCATACCCTTTTGTAAATATGCCATTATTCTTATTTAATACAATACTTGATTATTTGTTAAATTTTATAAATACTTTATTATTTATTTAATTTTCGAAATATATTTCCACAATAAAAAATTTAATAAAAGTCTCCCATGAAAACTCTGTGAAAATTTAATGCAATATTTACGTCGAATTTTGATATCATAATAAATTTTATATATATTTCCAGTTATTGTCATAAATTTCTGTTGAATTTTTTTAGGTGGCGTGGGGCACAGCCGTGATGGAATTGCAGAGCTGGTTGCTCTATCATTTAGTGACCGTCACCGACTGTAATCAAGGTACTGAGGGGATACATGGTTTCGTCGTGTCTCGCACATCTTCATCTTGAATCCACAAGATTTGTGTTACGCCAACGATTTGTCATTTTAACCCTTGGTTATTTTAGTTACGTTTGCCTGAGTTTGCCGGACCATTATTCACACACGCGCGCACAGCCCTCTCGCCGCTTCTTTATTTAATTTTCCATCCCACTATCGCGATCCAGAGGAAACGGTGGTCTACCGATGTTTGACGGTGAGTTCATCATACGAAAAAAGAAAATATGCACGCACAACAACGTGACCAACACAATCAAGAACTTTGTTGTGGTAGCTGATGCTCGAGATAAGACGCTTTCGCGCCATTCTCAGGACGTCGAAATTATAATGTCTCGTCTCTTCCTAAGAATATCAGTTTTTTTCAACTTTCTACTTATGTGTGCCACATTCGACCGTGCAATTCTTTTGTTCTTCCGCCGCTCGGAATGAATTATTAAACTACAGATTTGAGGGAGAAAAGGAAATGACCCGCTTCTTCACCGCACATTTAGCGGTGATTGAGGCGTGTTACAGATATGTTAAGCGTGCGATTATATATTATATTGTAAATATATAATTTTTATAATTATTTACATAAATTTAGAAAGTGTTCAATATAAAAATTAAGTTTTCAAGGAAATATTGGTTTTTCTAGCGTTAAATACGATGGTAAAAGTAACTGTAGTATGTATATGACTGTATATGCAGAGAGAAAAAATTTATATTTATATATCATATATTAAAAACTTTTATCGGACGTGGGAGAGAACGGTTTTGTCTCGAGCGAATAGAACTCGGGATCTCACGGTCGCGTTTAGTGCTAAACAAAAGGGAGAATGCGGGTCAATGCGCTTAATGTATATACGTGCGGCAGTCGTTTACTGTGCGAAAATATTGCAGTGATGCAGTCGGCGAACGCAATCGGAAACGGCGGTGGTGGATCGTATACAACCGGAAGCGGAAGTCGCACTCGCGATTTAGGACTGCGCGCCCAGAAGAAGCTTCTGGGTCGCATCGTGTCCACCGGTGCCGGCCGGTCGCTCTTCATCGACGACGCCACCACGTCGTTGCTGGATAATCTCTACAAGCTGATGGAGAGCGTCACCAAGAGCAACCCGCACTTGGACAAGAAGGAACCCGAGAAGGTCCTCAAGAACATCGTCAAATTGTCCATTAAGGTATACCAAAGGATTCAGCACCTCAGATTCCTCGAGCTTTCATTTCTCATGATATGTTCCGCGAGTTTGAAGAGCTGATTTAAATAAACCTCTTATTTATACTGTATAATCTTTAAAGTTAAATATTTCCTTTTAATTAAAACATCGATAAATGTTGGGAGAACAATTTGAATTTAAAAGAATTTAGAAAATATTCAACGAAACTGTAGAGCCTCTCTATAATAATTACAAATTAATATCCGCATCGTGTGTGTTTATGTATATGAGGTAATAATAGATAAATTTGGTTTAATGAAGAAATTGTATACCATTTGCAAATTTTATCTCTTTTAATTTGCTTTGAAATTATGATTTAATTCGGGATCCAATTATCTTCATAATTAAGTGTTTCATAAGAATAAATTACTTAAACTTCGTATAAATATGTATAATTTGAATTACGATTTAATTTCTACAATATTCATTATCATGCCATTGATAATGAATATTGTAGAAATTAAATCGTAATTCAGATCATATATTTATACGAAGTATAGCTAAAAATTTATTCATTATCATTGACAATTGGCTGTACTAATAATTATATGTGATAAAATGCTAAATTTTAATAAAATATAGAACTTTAATTTGGACGACAAAATGATGAATTTAAAAAAATTCCAAGTTGGATTATTATTGATTGCAAAATAATATTAAATGTATATGTATGGTATACATTTCACGACTGCTTTGTGTATTTTGCATTTTAACTGCGATGTAAATTAATTATATAATTCATTTTGTATTTATATTCATACAGTATACATTTTATTAAGCTGAAATTTATAGTTGTCGAAATAAATTCGATAAGTTAAATTAATTGATATAAAATATATATAATGTATATATAGATCGGACTCGTGCAACGCAGTCATCAATTCCGTCCGAACGACGCCGTGAAGCTGGACGAGCTTCGGGAAGCTCTGGGCACGGTGGCGATGACGGTGGTGTCCTTCTACGAAGTCGACTACAGTTACGACCAGGAGTACCTGATAGGCTCGTTGGAACGTTGCCGGTCGATGGTGCAAGAACTGATAAAGCCGCATCTCACGGACAAGTCGTCACAACGTTGCGACCAGGTATTCGACTTCCTGGTGTACCCGAAATTCTTGGACTCGGTATTCCGGTACGACTCCGAGCACAGACCCGTCCTCGGCATGCTAGTCAGTGATCTCAACAAGGCGTTGGACGCCAGGCGGCTTTGATTCTTCAAAGACGAAGTTGCACGATTTTGAAGCGAATGCGGACGACCGACAGGAAGCTGATCATCTTCCTCGGCAGCAACAAAACTTTCACAAAATTGTGATCGATGATGGATTCATCGACGAAGGAGGAGACGCGGATACGTTGATACACGCACGTTGTTTCACAACAAACGGACAACAATTGTTGTATACTTTCAGTATGTAACGACAGCATAGTTTCTTGTAGCGATAGATTACATAAAATGTGTTTCTTGCTCGCGACACGTCATTCTCACTAATTAGAGTAGCCGGCTCGAGTTACTCGGCGCGGACCACCCGCTCACTGATTTATGCAATAATTGTCTAATATTCCGCTTATATTTTAAGGGTACAGTCACATTTGCGTATGATGAGGTATGATATACATAATATTTATGTGCAGGATAAAATCGGCAATCCATACCAAAAAAAGAATTATAATTAGCTTAGTGAGTAAGGAAATAGAAGTGATATTGTCGCACATTTTTCTCTAAAATTGAATGCTAACGCGATTCAACATTACTTCTGTTTATCTTCATTTCGTTAATTATACAGATGAAAAGATCATAGTGTTTTTTATCTAGCTTAATTAAAATGTCTTAGAATGCAAAATTTTATTATATATCTTTATTTTTTATCTCTCAGTTATACATTAATTATTACGAATGAAGTTACCGTTATTTTAGATTCATCGATTCTGTCGTAATCTGATTTAGCAAATTCTACTTGTGATGAAACTATATGTAATATACGAATACAGCGTTACAATTATTGGAGAAATAGTGACGCGACGAAAAATTTATTAGAATTGAACTCGAAGTAGATCCCAGTTTGCGATTTTGTTAAGCTATTCTCTGTCGCGAACTTAAGAATCCTGTTGCAGAAAGTTTGCATTCACCGCGTATCACGACTGTGTTGTAATATGATGGATCTTAATGATTAAGCAATGTTTTTTTGCGAAATTTACCAAATCCATTGATTGATCAATCGCTCGATCAAGCGTCGACGTGCACTTGTAAAGTACATCTCTTCCTCTCTTCTATTTAAATCTTGTATCAACGATAGTACTGTCGCGTGTTGTAATGGATTGCGTGTGAATAACGGATTACCTTTTGCGAGTTGAAAGAGAACGAGATAAACACGCGACACTGGTATCCTTTACGTAATCTCTCATTCCTACGATTTCACGTTTAGAGAATTTTACTGCTGATGGAACGAGATCGATACTCTTAAAAAATAGCGTTATATATATTTAATTATTTAATATATATATTTTAAAGAGTTATAGTTTTATATAATGTTAAAAGATGCTAAAAGCCGCGTGAGCTCTTTTGGATTATATTTTATAAATAAGTTAGATTGCATCGCGCGCTGCATATATAGGTTTTTCAATTTTTATTCCAACTTTTTCATTTTTTTTTTTTTTTCAAAATGTTATATTTCTCTTTGTATACCCGATATAGTAGAAAGCTAAAATATGTAAAAACGAGTTGCGAAAGTTAGTTGCGGTCGACATAGTTTGCTATTAAACGCTTTGTACGTGCGTATTTGTTACAAAACACTCGACTAAAGAAACAACTCCCACATATCCTATTTGACTCGTGATCTTGAAGAATATATTAGCGTAGAATATATCGTAAAAAAAATATAGAGGATTTTATCGACCTTTTTGCGCCTTTTGTACGTGGTATACACCCACTTTACACGTTATTTGTGATGATTGTCAATATTAAAAAAATGTATGGATACTATGTCATTAATACATTATTAACAAACATGTCAGTCTCGTATTTATTGCGCTATGCAATCTCGGAGAGAAGAGAATGAGGACAAATGCGAGACGTGTGTCAGTCTCAAGAGCTTGGTATATTTATTTACATAGATATACGAAGTCGCACAAATATATAAAGTTACAATGATATAATTCATTCGCCATTTTCGCCATCCGCGTGTGCAAAGATATTCTCCTGTCATGGTAAATTATTGAAATTCACAAACCCTGCCACACACGTTTATTTTTACGAGCGATGCTAGCTATTATATTAAGGTGACAACTGAAAATTTTGGAAAACGCGTAATCAGACGTTTCGTATATATATATACACCGTATAAATATGTGTTCTCATGTTTTTTAAGTATAAAACTGTAACATCAATTTATCATTTGTCTATTATATTTCTTATGAATCGAGATATATAATAATCGAGAGAGTGGCAGCAGTTTGAGGACAGATTGTATTTTTATATATTTCCAAACAATCTCTGGATATGAAACGATGCTAAGGAAGGTCTCCGGAAAAGCTATCCGTTAACTATTGCTTGTTTATAAAATAGGCTATCAGATGCTGTGAACGTTTCGGTCGAAAATATCGAATGTTAAATATCTGCGCGTCAGAGAAATATAAGATACTTAAATTTTTATATACAATATTTTAATGGCAATTATTAAAATATTATATTTAAATATTTTTAAGTATATATATATATTATATGAACGCACATACAGTGGAGTGTAATACGCTAGTATTATTCTTCGCGGTTATATTTATAATGACGGATAATCCCTCTCTTTATCTCTTTTGTTGTAAATAAATGTCCCGGTGCGGCTTCATGTCATGTCCTCCAATGCTACATGTATGTTAATGTTTATCGGATCGTTTACATAGAGAGATGAGCGTGTATCTGTGAGAGACTACAGAGCTATCGGATACAATGTACACATTTATTTATCTTACGTAATATCGCGAGACTCCGTTATTATTATATGTTAACAACTCATAATTTTACAAGTATGCGCGGATCGGGAATATATAAATTGTTAACATACATATATACGTTTGTTATGTTAATGTTTGACGGTTTAACGACAATATATCGTCACTCATCTCCTCGTTTCGCAAACATGTCGCTTTATATTAGGGAATGCGTTGAATCGCATTACAAATTACCGTGCAGTTTCGCGGCGTATTATCATTTGACTATTGAATGAGTGAATCTTATTTCGCGTTTAAGTAACACCGCATTACATGCAGCATATACATCGCTGAACCGAAGGAGCCTTATTTCCTGAATCGAATTTGAGCTTGTTCGACGCAAAATCGTCGAATTCTATCGACTAACGTTATAAAGATACTTGGATGAGACAAGATGGGAATATATATGGTACATATGCGTGTTATTACCAGAGACAAATGCTCCCTTTCTTTCTTTCTCATTCTCTCGATTGCACACACAAACGCGGCATTTATACAATCATAGATTATACCGACGCTTTTTTGTTGTTAAATGAAATGCATGTACTTCGTAATCGATAATAATACTCCTCAACAAGCGTGACGAAGACTGACGACACGCTCGACACAACAAACTTGGTCGAACTTGAATAGTCGGATTTATATTTACGCTAAACTCAGTATCAGCTAAACTTTAAACGCTGACGAACAAAGAAAAATATGACTAATTCGTGATTAAGAGACAACAGAGACAAATGAATTTAAAATGTGTTCTTAAGAAATGAAAGTATTCCTAGGAGATAATTGTGCTATTAATGTAGTCTATATACACAATGTTTCTTCTTTTTTTTAACTGTTACTTTACTAAATGACATTCTTTGCCAAACATGTAGTTAATATACGTGGTAAAAAACTTTAGATTTTACAATCAGGATTACTTTGTCATGTAACAATACGAGATAAATATATGCGAATAAAAATTTTATTGGTATTATGATGCCTAAAATAAGTTTACGTGTTAGAAAGAGTTCATTGAGTGTTGCTGACTCTTGTGTATGAGGCCGGTATTTAAACTTCAATTCGATAGTTTGGTATTTGATAAAACTTAATATTCATCGTTATAATGTTCGTTGAGTCATTTTTTTCCATTTGTATCACTTCAAAAGATACACACATGTTTTGTTTCAAATGATAAATTAAGAAAATCTTAATAGATCTATAAATGTGCTTTCTCAAGAAATTTTTCGGACTCAGCTAACTACATTATAATTAACACTCGGAGAATTGTAACAATGTATACATATACATGTTGTATTATAATATTTGCATGCAGAAATCACAATTTCGCTTATTTAACAACATAAAATTTTACATGCCACTTAATACATTTGCTTTATCAGACTTAGGCTAGAGAAAAAGAAATTCTGATAAAAGAAACAATAAGCGTTGCTTCAATATAAATATTTCGAAATAATTTATATATAAATATAAATCGAACTTTTTTTACATAAAATTATTGAATAAATATTTTGATAATTTTGAACTTATAATATATTAAATTTTAAGAATAGTCCGTCAGTGCAATCCGGTATTAAAATAAAATTTGAAAAATTAAATATGCATAAACATAATTGTTTATTAAACGTGATATATTTTGTAATTAATTGAAAAAAATTATATTCGTGTTTACTGATGATTTTTCTTTAATTTTTTCTCAAAAAATTAAAATTTATAGGACTTTTTAAATAATATAATAAATAGAAAATCTTTATGTTTACCACACCATACGAATTCGAAATATCGAATTGATATTTATGGAAATATAAAGATTTTATTTCAATATATATAATTTTTAAATATAACATTTTGAGATATTCTTAAAATTATTAATTATTATTGCATTAATCATTATGCAAATTATTATTCGCACATAATAAAATCACCAGTGTTGATTTTTATAATTTATAAATAAATATTTTTAATTGCAAAAAAAGTGAATTGTAAATTAATTGTATCGTGAATTATCACAAATTAAAACGCAATCATTAAAACATAAAGTAACAATAATGTAATATTTTTCATATTAAATATTTTACAAATGATCAGAAAAGATAAATTCATTTAGATCTAAATCGTGATTTAATCATAAAATTATTATAACATGTTATTGTCCTTTCTTGGGAATTTCGCAATGATGTACTGGAAAAAGAAAAAACCTGAATAACTGGAAAATATAAATAAAAAAGAAATAGCTTATCATTTTTTTCGAGCACTTCCTTGCGAGAAAAATTTAAAGAAATATTAAATACGTATAACTAAATTACCAAATAATCAAGCCTTTCATGACATACATAATTTATATTCTAATAGATTAAGTTAGTAATTATCACTATCATTACTATTTTTATTTTCTTAATTTTAAACCTTCATTGCCATAATCCTGCGTAGTTGCCATACAGATTCGCAGGTAATGGACCACCTGCCGTAAATAGCCGTGTACCCGATGCATCATAACAGTGGGTGTAAATAGCAGGTGTATACTTCACATTTTGGAAACCATCTATATATTCTTCGTCAGGAAACTGATGTTCCAAAGAATGAAAAAAAAAAAAATCATTTTATAATAACATTACATTAAATGTCTACAAAACGAAATATTTAGATTTAAAATTGGCGCGATTTCAGAGACGATATTCAGGGTTGGCATTTTGTTCACTTTTTCATTTTGTCCGGAATACTGGAAGAAAGTGGACAAAATAGACGAAATGTGAAATAATATAGAAATCGATAAAATGAGAGATAGAGGTTTGTTATGAATAAAAACCAAAGTTTATCAAAAATTAAAGTTCTTATTTAATAAAGTTTATTTTATCTGAGCTTATTTTTAAAAATTTTTTCCAGCTTTGTCCATTTTGTCCAGCACATATATTTCTTCCGGGGCGGACAAAACTGGAAAAACTGAGGGGAGTTTTTCCACTCTGGACAGTGAATGCCAACCCTAGATATACTCTGTCAAATATGGCTCTTCTTCTATTATTATTAGTATTTTCCATGGTATATATCTGTCTGATGTCCACTGTATATACCTATGAAATATCTACAAAACTATGTACTATAGTACATTGTTTTGTAGACCCTTCATAGATATATACAGTGATTCAAAACTCGAGTTAAAATTTTTTGTAGTGATCAATAAAGCGCATCTCAATCTCAAAATATATTAACTGCAGTAAAAAATATATAAAATTATCAATATGAATGAATAAATTGCTGTATTTAAATGATACAAGACTTACCACATATCCTTTTGAAGCTTTTAATACAACAGTTCTATTCGAATTTATAGAAGATTCTAAATATTTCTGAGCTCTAACATCATAGAACATAAGCATTCCTAAACCAGTTCCGATGGTTAAAACAGAGCCCTGAAAACTCGCTGATCTAATACCACAACCGCTATATCTGTATAAATAAATTCAACAATTTATAAATATATCGAATATTATTACGCAACAATGGAGTATATTAGGAAAAAGAGAACAAATATTTTATTTACCTTGAAGGTATCTTTTTAATTGGCTGTAAAGTACGTGCATCCAGAAGAAGAGTATAAGACCTACATCCAATTGCATAAACACCATCGTCTTGTACGGCGAGACAAACGTTCTCCTGGCAAGCGGGCAGTTTTCTAGATATTTTCTGTTTGAAGGATTCGGCCGACCAGATATGTATAAAGCTATTGAGCGTTAATGCCGCGATTTCTTTATATGCTTTATTAAATGCCAGCGCTCGCACCTTCTGAGCAGACTTGCATTCCTTCACACAGACTGGCTGAATCAATCTGAAAACAGTAATATTGTTAGAATTATTGATAATTATTGACAATTATTAATAATTCTATTAATTATATAATAACACTATAATACTAATTATGAATAATTATTATATATTAATTGTTGATAATTAAGTTAATCACTAATTAAACAATTACAATACTAATATTAATGATTAATAAATAAAAGAATATTAAAAAAATTATTTTTATAATTATTCTGATTCTTTAATTATTAGATTTACAAAAAAAATCGATGTAACATTAAACATAATAAAAAACCAATTACATACAATTACTCGTTTCATAATTGTAATATAGCTACAAAAAATATTTTAGAAGATTAATATCTTCATATTCATAATATATTCGATTTTGTTTAATCGACCTGTGTGTAGGCACATCCGCTTTGTCAGGAGCTTCAGCGAGATCACTGTCAATACGCCACAGTGCCATTTTCGTATCCCTAGAGCCTGATACTAAAAATTCATCATCTAACCAACACATATCAAACACCCAATCTCTGTGACCGGTCTCGCCAACACAAACTGGATCCAGAGTCGGTAATCTGTATATCGCTATTTCATTACTATTTCTTGCTCCGGTAGATAAAAGAGTTCTGCAAAGAAGAGAAACAGAGATCAATTGTCAGAGATTTCCATTAGATCTATAAAATTAAATTTTTTACGCGTGACGTAACAGGAAAAAAAAATAGGCAAGTGAAATCACCTCGAAGGATTGATTTGAACGGAATGAATGCCGCATTGCTGCTCGGGCATAACATTGCCACCCGGACTGAGTTGTCTTCCGTGAAGAGACGGAATCTGGTCTAGCTTCTGCGTAGCAACGTCATATACCATAAGCTTATTGCACTTTGTACCAAATACCACTTGTCTATCACTCAACCATTGTGAACAAAACACTTTGTTCATATTGTTCAAGCTGACTGAGTACTCTTTGAACAAATCGTGCGTTAGTATATGTCGGGAACCGTATTCCTGATTAATCTTTCGCACTTCGCGCGTATTCGTTTCGCGTGCGCGCACGTAGTCCACGAAATTGAACGACGTTCTCAGGAATTGTTTGCCTTCGGTCACCGTCTCTGCTTCATCGTCGCTCGATTCGTAACACACGAAATCGTCTGGTTTATCCGGCTTTCGATTTCTCTCGTGTCGCAATGCCAATCTGAAAAAATTAAGAAGTTGTTGATGCTTGTACAAAATATATTAAACCTGAGAGAGAGAGATGCAGGCATTACACAATAATTTTTACACATATTTACCTCTTAGCTCGGCGCTCATCCAATCTGCTATTACTTGCACATGGAGGATGCCTTCCATACACGGTCATTCTTTGTGTCTCAGCCATTATTGTAATTAAAGTTTAACACTTTACAATTATTCAGGCAACTTGCAAGGAACACTGAGTATTATTATTGATCAGGAAAGTCTTATTAACAAACTTAAGAATGCTGGAAGCGATCACTTATGTGAAAAACATTAATAAAGAAAAAATGATATTGTATAACTTGAATAATGTCTCTATATATAAGTTTTCTTACAAGCAATTAACTTGTAAGAAAACTTTCAGCGTTCTTTTTTTTTATTTCAAATGCTTATTTATTTATAAAATTTTGGCAAATCACATTTTAAGAATTAATAGATTCACTCTTAAATTATAATATATTTAAAAAAGTTCAGAAAAGCAGAGAGAGAGAGAGAGAGAGAGAGAGAGAAGTTTGCTTCTTGTCTAGAGAGAAAATGAATAACTAATAAGATAATGAGGCACAATAGACTCTTGTTGCTCCAAGAAATTAACTACTTCTAATAAGAAAAAATTCTTGAGTTTGATATTAATATAACTATTATATCACATCAATTGAATCTTTCTTTCGATGTAGATTTCATTTATTTTTAATAAGGTTCTATAAATTAATCCAGTTGTTCGTGCAAGCTTATAATTTCTTTAGAATTGAATGGACTATTAACAAATCAATAATTCTTCCACAACACCAATATAAAAATTTAAAATATTATAAAATATTTTATTTGAATAGCAATGCAAGTAGGCTCACAAGACACATTTATCAGAACAACGCTCAGGCAGCTCTCAACCTAAAATAATTAATGAAGAATTTAATTAGTAGAAATCTTTGAAAATATGTTCTCTAATATAATATATTATCTTAGTTATTTTTTATACAAAATCTGTTCTCCTTTGAATTAAACTTTTTAAAAATATTGTCAGAGTATTTCAATTGTATGTAAATTGTATCACAATAATATACATTAATATACAATACAATAAAAATTAGTGTCTCATTAAAATAAATTATGATAATGACTAAACAAATATAAAATAAGACAATTTTATAATAAAAAAAAAAAAAAAATATTTTCAAGCTGTAGTACTTTTTTTATTAATCTTTGTATATATTTCTATATGTCTCAGACACTTTTTTTGATCATCTGGCTTGAATACTCGAACAATAAGCGCGACTGTTCGCTTCGCAAAGTCATGATCTATTGTGAAGAATCCTAATCCAGACAGATTAGACTGCTTACCATGCAGCTGTTTTCCGTCGAAAATTAATGTCAAATAGAAAAGTCGCGAGGCGTCAATTCAGAGTCCGGAGCCGGAGGACGAACCAGGACATCAAGAATAACTCGATACGACTTATCCCTCGAATTGGGACGCACTTTGTTTTACGAAGGAAAGGTCAAACGAAGCTGTCAAGCGAGATCCCAGGTTTCTCTCGTCATGTCGCGTCAACCTGGGCAATCTCTCGTCTCCTCGTCCGGGTGAATACGCGCTCCGCTCGTGCAGGATCCCGAGGATCCCTCGATCCGGGGAAATGATGCGCAGCCGGGACAAGCCGACGTCACGACGAGCCGAGAAACGCACGGGGTGACTGCACGAACGACGGCACCGCCATGTTGAAAGCGACACTCGGACCTCTTCGACAGTGCCGAGGCACTCGATACGTCGTTTCCGCGAGCCCGGGAACGTTTTACCTCGACAGCGTGTCCGCGGAAGCGATCCGCATTCTTAACACGTGCGTGACGTCTCCCGAGAATTTTTCCTCACGCACATTTTCGCAACTGTCAACAGTGTCAACATCGGTTTCTCGCCCCCCCCCCTCCCACCGGCCCGGAGATCATCTGAGCTCTCCCCTCCACGTGATTTTCCTGATAGTTCGTGGCGTAATGACGTGCATATGTAATGAAGAGAGAAAACTTGTCCCGCAAATGCGAGCGTCCAATGGGAAACGCCGCTGGGTAAAGTCACTAGGAACGAGGCTTCCTATTGGCCGATCGGATCTCTACGTCATACGTCGGTGACATCGATCATCCAATCGGAGCGAAGGAATTTTTGCTTTTATTTTTCGTTTCGTAGCCTCGAAAGGAACGCATCGTCTATATAGGCTTAAATGTCTTTTCTTTGTTCGTGTTTATGAATATTTTTGAAACATGGCATCGTTTAAGAAAATTAATACCAAAGTATTTACCAGAGCGGGACCGGAGTTGACGGAGGATAATATATATGGAAGAAATATTCGGTACATATTTAGGACTCGCTTGTAAAGAGTTGAGATCATTTTTACTGACATTGCATCGTACACGTGGGCGGGTTATAACCTATAAACGCATTTGCTTTCTTTTTATTATTTTATCTTGAGAGTATTTTGTTTATATTAATATATTAAATTTGCATTTTTTCCTTAACGAAATATGGATTTGAATTAAAATGTAATTGCTTCATATATTATCGAAATCGTTTATGTAATATTTATATATAAAATCATACATTTTTATATAAAATAAAAGCAAATAAAATTCTGTTCAGCATTAAGAAAATATAAATTGTATGCTGTTTTTATATAAAACTCGACTATTTCTTTTACATTTATTATTAATTAATTATTACTATTTTTAATCATATATTAATTATTAATTATATCATAGATTTATCTATGTTATAGATACACTTATTGATATGATTACCATTATTAATCATTTATATAATTTATAATATAATTACGTTATATTATAATACATAAATACAAATTTCCAACAATAAATTATGCATATAAAAATAAAAAATGATAAATTATTTATGTGTTCACAGCCTCCAGTTTTAGTGAAAGAATTTGGTCCAATAGACTACATCGACTTCTCACCAGTAGAACCACATTATTTTACAGTTACCTGCTCAGTACGAGTGCAGATATATAATCCTATTACAAAGCTGGTCACAAAAACTTACAGCAGTTTCAAAGAAGCTGCGTATGGGAGCTGCTTTCGTAGAGATGGCAAACTGCTATGTGTCGGTGGTCAGGAAGCAGTGGTCAGGCTTTTTAACATTGGCTCAAATAGCATGCTACGATTGTTTTCGGGGCACAAGGCTGCAGTGCACAGAGCTTTCTTCACAGCTGATGATCTTCATATTGCTTCATTTTCTGATGATAAAACTGTGATATTGTGGGACATACCTAGTGAAAAACAACTGACAAGTTTCAATGAACATACTGATTATATCAGAGCCGGTGCAGTTAGTCCTGTCTCCACTGATGTATTATTATCTGGTGGATATGACAAAATTATAAATATGTATGATGCAAGAACAAATAAGAAAATACTTAGTGTCAATCATGATGCACCAGTGGAGAGTTTACTCTTTTTGCCAACTGGAGGAATATTCTTGTCTGCGGGTATAGTGTTCTACAATGTTTTAATTATAATCAAAAATTCGTATATATAATTAATAAGTATATTTTATGATATACAATTTAAGATTTATTTTATATATAGTAATGTGTTTATTTTAAGGTGGGACTGATATCAAAGTGTGGGACGCTCTCGCAGGTGGTAAATTACTTGCAAAAATAACTCAACATCATAAAACTGTAACTTGCTTGAAAATCGCATCCAATGGTCATAGAATATTATCTGGTTCGTTGGATAGGCATGTTAAAGTTTATGACACTGGGACATATAAAACACTTCACACTTTAGACTATCCTAATGCAGTTCTCAGTATAGGAATTAGCGTAAGAAAAAAATGCATTCTATATTATACATTAAAATCTGCATTTATGTTTATCTAATATATCTAATTATTGATTAAATTTAATCAATTTATAAAAATGAATACTAAATTAATATTAAATTGCAGGAGGGTGACGAGACTGTCGTAGCTGGTATGGTCGACGGTCTAATCTCTATCAAAAGACGCGAGGAAGACGTGAAAGACGTTGTAAAACCGAAACGTAAAGTTTCGTACAGGCACGCGGGCGAAAATCTGCATGTACGAAGCGTCGACGTAGTCGTGCAGCAGGAAGTTAAAGAGATAATGAGCAAGCATGACGCTTGTCTGCGAAAGTTTCAATACAGTAAAGCGCTCGACTGCGTCATGATGAATTATGTCGTTAACAAAACGCCGCACGTTACTGTCGCGCTTACACAGGAACTTATCAGGCGAGAAGGCTTAAGGCGAGCTTTGGCTGGTCGGGACGGCAAGTCCCTCGTCAATATCATTAAGTTTTTGAACAAATATATCGGTAGCATTCGTTTCGGAAGAGTATTATTGCATGTAGCAAACGTTTTGTTAGGTAAATTTTAATTAATTTTTTTCTCAAAGATATTTCGCGTGTTTCTTTTTGATTAATAAAACTTGTTCTTCTCCAATAGATGTGTATGAAGATCATTTGGATGAACTTTCGGAGGAACCACGGAAAATGTTTACTATACTAGCACAAAAACTGCAGGAAGAGGAACAGCTAATTATAGCCTTGACGCAACTACAGGGTTCAATGCAAATGATACTGTCTGGTGCTGAAACTGTTCCTTTACCTGCTATAAAAGAGAATCAGAGTATGGAACCGTCAAATGCTGCTCAAACGGAACGCGAACTCGTGTTAAGTATAACATAAATTTAAATAGACCACAAATCATTGTCAACTTGTAAAATAATATTTTCTGTACATAACTTTGAATAAATTTTTGAAATAAAGTGATAATACTTAAATATTTCCATTGAGAAACAAGTTATTTTTCAGCGAAAATTTAGGCTATTTTACTTAAGTTAATAATATATTAATCTTTACAAATGTTTAAATAATAATTTTTCTTTGCAAATATATAAGTTTTGCAGAATGAGCATAGTCAGAAAATATTTTTCAAATGTATAAATAGCGTGATTTTGAAATATCATATCAAATTATTTATTTCTTTAGGTAAACTTACATTGACGTATTATTCATTTATGTTAAGATGTCTCCTTATTGAGGCATTTTTGCCACGCAGCAGAAGATGGTTTTCAGGCACTATCCATCCAATCGGTATCGTTGTTGCACTATTTTCAGAACTTATAAATCTATCCCAAGCCGTACTAAAATGCAAAACAATTATTTTCATTTATTGAGAAAAATAATTTTTTTTGTATTATAAATATCTAAGATTATATCTGAACATTGAATACATACCGAATCAAGATAAAACTATCCAAATCCTTGTGAGATTGCTCAACAGCCGATATATTTACTCCGAATAATGCATTCTCCCAATCAGCAAATACATTTTTTGTCTGTTTTTCAATTCTCTCTTCATTATCTGTTTTCAGCATTAATTTCAATTCTTGTTCTTCTACTGCATACTCGCGATCCAAAGTAGTCCATTGTTCTGTTAATTTAGCTGTAATATATTTCATAATATATATATTAAAATGACGAATATTTATAATATAGTGTTTTTAAAAAACATGGTATAAGTAGTAATTTAATTTCTATTAACTACATTCTATTACTGATTTGTCTCTATTATTTAATTGAAAAATGCCACGTCATTTTATAAAATAAAAATCTAATATATATCAATAAAATTTACCGATGTCATGCTTGAACGCTTCATCACTTGCTGAGATTTTTTTCGCCTCTCGCTTGAGCAATTGACATCTTGATGTTTCGTAAGTTTTGTAATTCTTGCAAAATTCCTAGATACTTTCGCGCGTCGTTTCTTTTATTACGAACGTCGGACAAGATTATGTCCGCGTCCTTGCGCAAATTTTCCTCTTGTTTCTCTTGTTCGATTACCGCTTGTTTCTTTCGAATCCACGAATCAGCCTCTGCATGAAATCTTGCTCTTCTTTCTTCCCTCATGGACTTTTCCTTTTTCCACTCTTCCCTTTTACGTCGTTCCCTTAAACGTTTCTTCTTGCGTTTCTTTAAATCCTTCTTAACTTTATTTAGAAAATCCGTATCTTTTATAGATTTCAAGATTTCACAAATTTCATGCTTTACAGCATTACAGGCACTGACTTTTTCCTGCCATTGTATTTCCGATAAATTAACATTTTCAAGTTCCGTACAAACAATCTCCAGTTGCTTATTTAATTTAGTCACCGATATTAGTGCACTTTTAATAGACGCGATCTTAAATGGATCTTTCTGTTTGCTTTCGATAGAAATTTGCGATTCGGTCTCTTGGAGGAATTGTTCAATGGCCCTTTCATCTTCTTGTCGTCTCCTTATTCTATCGACTAATGTCGCGTTATTAACTGTACTGTTATCACATGTTACATGGCTTGGATAACATTATAGTACATATTTCCGCTATAATTTGCATCATATGCAAATGATTGTTGAATTGTTGGATAATACATGTTAAAATGCACATTTTCATAAGTTTGCCCAGTATTTTGCTGGGATGATTGATCACTATACATAATTGTTAAATATATTATATATTCAATTAAAGCAATAAGAAAATTTAATACTATAATGTTCTCAAGTATGACATTAGTTTTCTTTAAACATAAAGATTAGTGAGAAATAAGACTGTGAAATAACATTTAAAAATCTAGTCACAGAGTGCACTTTTTAACACATCTGTAAAATGTCTCCTTCTTTCGGTAGCTGCGCTTCTGCCTCTTGTAACACCTTTTCAGCTTCAATATAATCCTCGATTTCTTTCAAATCTTGTTCGGTGTCCAAAATGTTTTTGAGCTCTTCAAATGCTTTAACGAGACGTCTTTGACAATCTGGTACCATCATCAAAGATTCTTGGAGAACCTCCTCTTGTTTTTTTATGTCGTAACCATCTTTATCTAGAGATAAGATAAATATTATAATTTCAAGATCTTAAAATTAAAAGGAGAAAATGCGAAAGTTGTACAAAATCCAAATGTGTGAAAACATTAAAGCACCTATAAGCATTTTAACAAATATATATTTTTTTCTGTAAATGCCAAGTATTTGCAAATTATATTAAACGAATGAAGAAATTCTCATACTCTTTGAACGTATTACGCAGTTACGATAAGAGTCACATTTTGACAGTTGGGACCCTTTTTCCCCTCGTGGCTAAAAGCGAGTCTCACCTTGCTCTTTCAACTTTTGTATCCTTTCACGCTGCTGCGTCGCTTCTTTCTCGTACGTAATCTTCTCTTTAGCAAGACGTTTAACCACTCCCGTTTTTATCTTGAGCGTTCTTATACGCGGGTCGGACATATTATTTATCGCACGTTTTCGCGCGGATATCTTTATCTGTCCAAACGAGAAAGGCTAGAGAGTCTCGAGGATCCACAAATTTCTCTTCGTGCTTATCTTCCTTTTTTTTTTTTAATCCTCCTCCCTTATTAGGCGAGATGAGTCGAGGGAAGTAAAATCGCAACACACCGTGACACGACGCGAACAGTAGGTTATGTCGCTCCTTCCCACGCACGCGCGCGCACATCGCTCCGACTCTGACGTTCGCCGCGATCGCGATCGGCCGTCTTCGTGGATCCTCGTCGGCGCTCGTGTCGATACCTGCTTCGCGCTGCATCTTGGCGGTTATTCGTTACGTTACCTTCGCTACATCCTGCCGCTCCGATATTATGTCTCCGTTCCGTCGTAATTTTTATCGTGATCCTCAAGTGGCTGTCATCGCAAGATCATCGAGTTGTCGTGTGACGAACGGCGACAAGGTGCGTAGATGAATTATCGTTATCGGCGGCCGATAAGACACGGTAAGCGAACTTTATTTTCGCCGCTTCCGGTATATAGAGAAAATGTCGAACATTTACAGTTATTCGCGCGATAATTTTCCGCGGGTCAGTGATAGAAATTTCGATAAAATTATATATGTACGTTTTCTTGTCGATGCTGACAGATTTTTATATATACAGATTTATACATAAATTAATGATTATGGAGATATTTTATGATATATTTTTGATATATTTCATATATATATATGATTATGGATATATTTTATGATATATTTCATTGATAAAAATGTTAGTATGATATAAATAAATTCAGGGAATGGCATTAAATATAGAAAGTAATTGAAATAACGAGCATATATTTTTCATTAGTTTCATTCCTAGTGAAAAAATTGATAAATTACATTGGCATAAATTATACATATATATATAGTGAGTACACAAAGTCAAGAAATGGCGCTAAATTTAAAACGTGAATTGACGAAACGAGTATATATATTTTCAAGTAAATGAAAAAACAAATATATATTTTCAAGAATTTTCTTCCTACAGTTACATCAATGAATCGAGATAAAAATATTAGAAAATTTTTGCGCGAGAATAACACTCGCAGCACCGAGCAATTTCGTCCGACTTATTTTTCCCGCCCAAATTGGCGCGCGCCAATTCGAGTCCCGCCCGCCCATTGAGCGCCGCGAGGTTGGCAGTCCTGGGCGGCGCGCCCGGGCCGACTCGCGGCTAAGTTCGCGCCACGCGCAGCCGAGCGTGGCTGCACTCGGTCGGCGCGTCCGCAGAGCGAAAGTGCCGCACCGCCGTGCGTCGTGTCGCAGCGGGACGTGTCGAAGGAGCGAAGAGAAAGAGAGAGAGAGAGAAGAAAGGGACGCGAGGGTGGTGCAGCTGCCACTGGCGCGTCCGCCGTCGATGGATATACATCCACGAGGGAGGTGTGATGCGGCTCACACGATGGTGGACAACGAGTTCCCGCCGCCGAGAAGATCCTGCGCGACATCGAGAACACGATCCGAAGGAATCCCGCTATGTGAGTGTTTTGTCAACCTCTCCTTTTACCGGGCGTGCGTTATTTCTCGTCGTTCGTTTTCTTGCGCGACGAGCAGAGATCCGGAACCGGTAGACTCTCCGTGCGCTCGATTTCGATATCGGAGTAAGAGAATGACAGAGTGTGTATGTGAGAGAGAGAGAGAGGGAGAGAAGGAGAGAGAGAGAGAGAAAAGTGCGCGAAAAAACAATGTCTTGTTTCACCGATCGTTGCCTTTCTTCTTCTGTTGTCGCATTCAAACGTATACAGAATTTTTTCGCGCGTTTAAATTGCAATTGTCACTTTTAATACATCCTCGTAATAATTTATTGTGATGTTATTTGCTTCTCTGCTCCTTTTATTTGCTCCTTTTACACCCTGCTTCACAATTTCTTTTTCCCATCAAATGTCTAAATATAATACACGCATTCGTTTTATTTTAAATGCACAAAAATATATGTATGATATATATATATATATATATATATTTATATACAAGCATATATATATTATATATACATATATGCATGTATATAAGTGCGTGTGCGCGAAAGGAGCAGCATGCATATTATCGATTTAAAATCACCGCGGATATCGCGCAGCGAGGAATCCTAACCTAAATGGAGCTGCTTGTGTACGAGAACACCCAGTTTTCGGAGTCCGTACTGCAACATCCGCAGACCGACCGGCATCAACAAAACGCCGCATCCGCAGCACGGCGTGATCGCGCGATTGCGCGAGGGCGGAGTCTTCGGGAGGGTCGGGAGAGAGGAGGAAAGAAAAAAAAAAAAGAGTAGCATGCACCGCGATCGCGCAACTTGCAGTCGAGCGACCGCGAGTCGACCTCGCGATTTTAACTCGACGATCGATTCTTCGGGTCGCGCGCGACTTTTCGCCCACGCGACTGCTACGGCAACGGCTACGGTAAATAATAATCGCGAATAATTGACTGCGAGTAATCGATCGCGACCGTAATTAACTGCCGCTCCAGATCGTAATCTAGGAGATATTAAACGGCAAACAGCCCAGCTGCTTCATTTCGCGCATTAATTGTTTCGATATCCTGTGTATATTGTCACGAATTCCTTATTCTGGATTTTTTTATCGAGTTGAAAAAGTTCTGGAATAAATAAATTTTTATAATATGTTCTTATGTAATGCACGAAGAAAATTTTCTCTTAGAATTTATCCGGAAAATCATAATAATCGTGGGACAATGTATACGGTATTGGGAGAATTTTATAAGAGTTTCTCTCTCTGATTAATATTTACCATAATAAAATTAATATTTACTATATGATAAAAAATATCAATATACATATATACATATATATGTATATAGTAAATTTTACTAAATAGTAAAATTAATTCATAGTAAAATTAATCAAACATTTTTTATACTTTATTGTGGTAGATATATTAATATTTTTTATTGTGGTAAATATTAATTAGAGAAATTCTTAGAAAATTCTTTCAATACTATTTTATTTCACCATGATTTTCAAGGTAAATTCTAAGAGAAAATTCTTTCTGTGTATATATAATTTTTAAATATATTATATAATATATATAATTTTAAATATATATTATTATATAATTTTTAAATAATAATAATATATATAATTTTTAAATCCTTTTAGATATTATTTTAATATTTCTCTATGTTGAAAGTTACATTGCAGCGTAAATAATTATTTGGATTTCGTAAACATTACGTTGATTTTAACAAATTACATTCAGCTTTCAATTTTGCTCCGCAAGAGTAATTAAAATTAATTTTCTCAAGGTTATTTAGTTCGTTTAAAGCTGGCTTAACTCGACATATTATTTATTGCATATAAAAAGAAATTACTGAGCGTCATATGTTAATGCTCCATTTTAATTGTATCCTTTTTAATAATTAAAAACTAATTTTTATTATTTATTTTTTTACTATTTTATTATTATTTTATTATATAAATAAATAATAAAATAAAATAAATAAATAAAAAAAATTAATAGTTTTAAATATATAATATATAATATATTATTACTTTTATATATATTGTTTATTATATCATTATTATATACAATAAAATAATCAATTTAAATAAAATATAAGTATTCATTAATTTATAAGAATAAATAGGTTAAAATTTCGAGTGTTTCGAATGAAATAAAAAGCTCATTAAAATATCATACTCACGTAATCTCGTATTGAGAACGCTATTAATCTCACATTATCCTATGGTTTTACTCGCGAGCTCAGATTTCAAGTATAAACACGCGTTCGCGACTGATGATTAAAAAAGAGATAATAAGTAGGAAAGCGCGGAAAGAGAATACACACAACAGAAACAGGGTCGAGATGTACGTGGCAAAATAATAAATAATCAGCCGCGTCCGGTGACTCTCGTCAAGTAGCACCATCCGGAGAACATCGAGCGTTAATAATCGCGGCTTGTTTACGAACCTTAATTCCACTTGCGTAATGCAACTTGATTAATTGCTCGATTATTTTTATCTCCAGTTTTTTTGCGTTAGAGTTTCTCTCTCTTTAGAGAGAAATTTATTACTTCCGATACTTATATGTACTGTTTATGAAGGCCTCATTCATAAATTTGATGCGAAACACTTGTTTACATTATTCCAACATAATTTTCAAGATTCTCTATATATCAGAGTTAAATTTTTTTTGAATCAGAGAAGAATTGTTTTATAAATGTTTCTTCGTGAATCACGTTTGATAATTTATATCTTATTGACAGTTAATAGGCTGTTGTTCGTATTGTTGAATTAACGAAGGTCAAGGTTGGACATGAACACGACAAGACTTGTGTAAATTCATCGATGCGAGGTATAAAAATCTCGCGATTTTGCGCATCGCGATGCTGCATTATTAATTCTCAGATTTAATTTTGAACTTTTTTAGATACGGCTTTTAGTCGCATTGCAGACTGAAATATCGAATTGATGATTCTTTAATGACTAGTTCATAACTTTGTTTTATTTTTTCATCTCTCGCTTCGTATTCTAAAAATATATTATATATAGCGATGCTATTTATTTATCGTATTAATTATAACATTAATATTATTAAAAGAATATATTTTCTACATGCGCAGATTTATTGCGATTTTGACGTTAAACGTTGCATATTTTTTATCAGATTAATTAACAAGAAATATCGATGCACGTAATATTAAAAAATTCGCTCAATTAGTACATTTTTTCTTTGCACACTAAAAAAATTTATTGAATTCGAATAAATATTTATTTGAATACTGTTTTATAAATTATTTATTTAAAACTAATATTATTTAACGTGAAAAAATATTTAATATAGAAATCCTTTTCAAAACAGATAAATATTTGTTTGTTTCAAATAAATGATTTAATAAGGCAGTATTGAAATAAATATTTATTAA